AACGGACAAAAAGGTGTCTATCCTCCATTGTCACTATCAATTTTTAATCCCCTCACGTTTCCTGTGAATAGCCTCACCATGCGCACCCGCATTTCAAGCAAACAGCCCGCGCTTCAGTGACCTATCAGTCTTCAGCCTTCTAGGTCGATATTTGATTGGATAGTTTATGTTGTCTTTATTAATAAGCTATGGCTGTACGCAGTTAAATAAAAGGTCACGAATTTCTATGACGTCATTAGATTCTGCAAATGTCGTTGCCTTTGCCTGATTTAAATTCCTTCCGAGTAACAGTGTTTCAATTTTGTAAATGTTAAATGTATCTCGCTGAGCTGAAGTTTACCACTTTTCTCATATAGTAAATAACTTCCTTAAATTTATCATCCGGAATAAGTTTTCCATGTTTGTTTACTCATTTCTAAAGAGTGAGCTCATTCGCAATGAAGTAAGACATTGTTTTTCGCTAATCTGAAGCGTACTCATTTAATGTGCCTCGTTAACCAGTTTTGCATTTTGTTAAAAATCTATACTTTCTATATTTCCTGCCTCATCCATACTCGAAGCATATCATACAGCGAAAATGTATTCCTCTAAACAGTAAAACACCTTAGAGCATTTCATAGCGCCGCTTATCCGCAACTAACCAATTAATCTGTGAAGTTCGCCAACTTTAGGCAGAAATAAGAGCCCTAGTTTAACTTGCGCCTTTGAAGTCTGTGATTTTGAAAGCTGACAGTGTTTTTAATTTAATCATATTATGTAAATTAGTAGAGAAAGCTTGACTCATTTTACCTTTCTCCTTTAGTTCCATGTAATAGCTAACATTGACAATAAGCACAAATTCTACTATTGTAAAGGATCAACGGTTGCTTTTGAAAGCCAACCGTCACATTGAATTTAACAGACTAGGCTAGATTTTATATGCACCGATGCTATACCAGAGGGGTTGAGCAAAGAGCATTCGCAGCAGCACGTTGCAGATATTTGATGTTGAGAGCCTCACTGCAGGAGCGAATCTCAGGCGTGCTAAATTAAGAGCTTCGTTAGCTGCAAATAGCTGAATAAAACCTTGCCTGAATGTGCTCAAAAAGCACGTGAGGATTTTAGATGAAAACCAACGTGGAAAACAAACTTTGCCACTAGAAAATGCATACGTTGTTTTGAAGATAGGCACAGATCAAGGCATGAGCTTTGCATGAAGTGAGATTTAGGGCTCATCATCCACATTTGTAGAGGCAGAGTGACCAATCAGTTCGAGAAGAGCTAGTGGAAAACCATTGAACTCACCAGAACTCACCGCCACCAAGATTATCATTTAACCATTAGGTTTAACTTGATATGCGCACAGTCCCTTAGTCTTCTAGATTTATGAAACCTAAGGGGAATCTTCCACTTTCGATTCAGGTCAATCGAAAATCTTGCGGCGCAAGCCACTGGAGGTCGAGCCGGGAACACTAACCTTACTACGCATGCGTACACTGGAAGTCTGGCTTCTGGTCTTGCCTTCGTTGGTACCATCAAGTGGCACAAACTGCCATGTTTCAACTCAAAGATAAAGACCAAAACGCCTTCGGCGGCTATTTTCGGAAGGATGAAGTCAACGGTATGACAGCTTTCTAAGTAAAATTTCTACAATTTGTGCTACTTTAATTTAAAATGCTTCGGTTATCCCACATTCACTGTGCAACGTTTATTTGAACTCATAAACACATTTTAGACATCGGTTAAAGGACACAACCTACAGGAACGCTGTTTTGAACGGATTGCCGAGTGCGCTGTCTGTGGAGAACTCCTATGGGGTCTAGCACCTCAGGGATACTCTTGCCAAAGTAAGTCTCAGATTTGTGTTGATTAGGCCCTCAGGGCGCTAACAAGCTCCCAGCGAAAATAGGATTTATATCACTTTATACTGACAATTATACCAAGTACTGATAGAAAACCGAGAAAGTTAAAAACAACCACAGGGTTAAACAATCGCCTATGGCTCAGCTATTAATCTTTTTTCATTCTTTCAGTCGATGCGGGCAGTA